AAACTGTACACAGACAATTACTACACCAGTCCTACGCTTTATTGACCATCTAAAAGCTGAAGATACAATGTTAGTTGGTACAGCTAGAATGAATAGAAAAGAAATGCCTGCAGCCCTGAAATTGCCATTGCGACAAGGTGAAGTCATTTATCGTCAGAGAAATTGAGTCTTGGCGATGAAATGGAAAGACAAGCGTGATGTTTCTATGTTGTCATCAGTACACATGCCAATTTGGAAATTTGTTGGCCTATCCAGGGGATCCGAAGAACAAATTGTAAAGCCTTTGAGCAAGATTCTTGTGTCAAAGGCAAGTGTAGTCTAATTTCTATAAAGTAGACAACTGAGTTAATTTTGATGCATATCAAGACAGCCTTTGATGTGCAGTCTTCAGGCATTTCAAATGTTTTTCTGCCTGCTTTATGTAAAATTACTTTACATGCAGCAGTGTTTCAGTTAGATTTATTTTTCTTGCGTATTTCTATACGCATTCACCATTTTTGTTGCGTACAAAGTTGCAAAATATACGTAAAATCGAAGTAGTTTTGAACAAATGTAAAATCAACAACGTGAATACGTGCCCAAGATATAACTGTTCTAAATTTGTAACATAAATAAAAGGTAATTGTTATTTTAAACGTTTTGTGTTCTCGTAATTACTATTGCATTTCAATAACACAAAGATCTCCACTAGTTATGTTCGTAGTTATTAATTTCGTGTATTGTTATTTTCGACGCTGATGCTGCTGTCTGAAGGATAACATGCCTTCCCTAAAATCAAAGCCACCAACTGCAGGCCCTTCCATTGTGATCATCATTAGATCATTTATAACTTCTTTGTTGAGACGGCTTCTTCTTGAAGTTTTAATGCGGTTTTGCGTGCTAAAACCACGCTCACAAGAAACTGATGATACCGGAATTACAGCTGCAATAACAGCTACAATGTAGTTTTGATATATTTGGAAACACTTCGTGGTAGTCATTGTACAATAACATACACACATCAATAAAGCGAAGCTGTCTCAATCCGTATAGCATAATTTTGAATTGCTGGTATTCGATACGGAGCTCTTCAAAATTAATTATGGCTCTGTGGATTTCACCATCGTCACCCATGTCACGCCCAAAATGACCAAATGCTTCTATTTCCGGTATTCCGAAGTTAGCTAGCTCGTTCATCTCTTGTGACAATTTCCTGGGATTGAGCAGGACATCTAATGAAGTTAGAACAGTTATCTGATCACCCTCGAAACGACGTTGCAAGTTGTGAATCAGTGCTTTCACGAATTCACACCGAGGGGCCATTAACGAACGCATCGATGTTGACTTTGGCTGCATGCTTCAGTTGAACTCCGTGGTAAGTGCGTGTTTGCCTGTCAAACGTATTCATGAACTGCTTCATGTACACCGGAATACGGAGTTTCCAATAGCTGCTGTAAACTCTGTATGGTAGACGAAACCATGGGAGCAATTGTAGACAAATCGATAGAGTCACCTTGAAATAAGATTTAATCTATCCATCAGCGCTAGCATATCTTTTAGAAGTTTTGTTGTCACAAATTTAAAGGATGACACGTGTAACACTCCCTTCGCAGCTGCATTATTTTTTTCAGGCCTTGATTCCTCCTCCAACTCAACTCAACGAGAACAGCCCAACTTGTTGATCGCTGTCACTGCTCAGGATAACGATAGCCATCTCACCGAACACGGCTCTTTGAGTGACTGGAAATCGCTATCCAGTGATTCATTCAATTCTCGCAAACGATTCATACGGGCAGCAGAGAAGTGGTAAAAGTTGTAGATAGTGTTTACATCTTTACAATATTCACTGATGTTGACAACACCTTTATCTCGCTTTGTTGCATCGCTGGCCGCTAGAGCAACTCTGAGCAACGCAGTGAACAGATGTCAGAAAAGGATTGAGACGTTTTAATCAGGCTGCGACACCATTTAAACGCCCAGTCATAACACTGGCGCCGTCAAGATCCAAAGCCCATGACTTTATTAGTCCCCGTTCGGACGCAGTCCGAAAACGGGGACTTGTGTTTTGCCCTGTGTGCGTCCGTGCGTCCGTGATCACCTGTATCTCGAACATGCATGGACCGATTAAGTTCAAACTTCACTCATACATCACACATATGGGACATATGCACATGCATTTTTTTCATGATCTGATTAACGATAGCCGAATAGCGGCCATTTTAAGGCCGAAAATGCATCAAAATCGCATTTTTTCACCATTCCGGGCCCGGATCTCAGTTATGCATGGACGGATTTCGTTCAAATTTGGTACATACATTAAACATAATAGGACCTTGATGCACGTCATATTTCTTTCGGATCAAGTTCGAAATGGCCGACTGGCGGCCATTTTGTTTTAAAGAATTCAGTTCTTGATCCGTATGCAAGACATGTCTGGATTGATCAAGTTCAAACTTCACACACACACACACGGTACATCATGTCACAAATAGATATGTGCATTTGTTTCATGATCTGCTTAACAATAGTGGAATGATGGCTATTTTAAGGCCGAAAATGCATCAAAATCACGTATTTTCACAATTCCAGAACCGGATCTCAGTTATGCATGGACAGATTTTGTTCAAATTTGGTACATACATTAAACATAATAGGACCTTGATGCATGTCTTTTTTTTTCGGATCAAGTTCGAAATGGCCGACTGGCAGCCATTTTGTTTTAAAGAATTCAGTTCTGGATCCGTATGCAAGACATGTCTGGATTGATCAAGTTCAAACTTCACACACACACACACGGTACATCATGTCACAAATAGATATGTGCATTTGTTTCATGATCTGCTTAACAATAGTGGAATGATGGCTATTTTTAAGGCCGAAAATGCATCAAAATCACGCATTTTCACAATTCCAGAACCGGATCTCAGTCATGCATGGATGGATTTTGTTCAGATTTAGCACAATGTGTTGTACATATGCAGGTGCATTTCGGTCATGATCTGCTTTGAATGTATATGTAACTCAAATATGAACGGAACGGGGAAGTGTCATTGACAATGACTTGTCAATTTCAATATCACTTGCAACGAGTGTCAATCAACACATTCATCACTGTTTCGGCATTCCCGCGTGAATAGTGACATTGATTTCTTCTTTGATCTTCCGGCATATCGTATCTGACAATGCAATGAAAACCTGTACACTTGCAAGACTCCCTATGGTCGCTGGTGGCCAAGTGGCGAACTAATGTCGAACATTGCAAGTCGCTGCAACCTTTAGTGAATGAATTTGACTTGTCAGCACTTTTACAGGTACGGCAAAACATTTTGATGTTCACTTCTGGAGCTGTAACTTTGGGTTCGTGATAACCAAATGAACTCGCATATTCATTCCTGGCAAAATTTGTGATGTATTTTCACATGCACGTCAAACACTCGCCGTCTCGGCATTTGGTTGCGTCGAGTTTTCCGGTAGCTTTTGAAAAAAGGTCGATTCAATAACCATCACAGTTTGTATTTGCCTTTTAAAAAGGTCTATCCAAACATGGAGCTAAAAAATAAAACCGGACGCAACGTTTTTGGCAGTCATTGAGAGAAACAATTTGCATATAAAACAAAGGACAGCCCCCTATTGCGTGAATCCGGTTCTGTGATTGCTTAGACGCTTGACTCGTGTCAATGTGGGGCC